GAATGTGTATAGAATTGTATAGTATCCCCACACCTTTGTTGGAGCCCATGAAACGCATGGCTACGACGCAGCGCCTTTTGGTTCAACGAGGAAAAGCGTGACCGCTTAGAGTTGTACTGTTTAACTCAAAGACAGCCTGTCCGGCGGGCTTCGAGCAGCACTGCGGTCCCTCGAGAAGATCCTGCCGACGATTCGGCCCCGCTTCATCCCCTTCCACCCTGACGACATGGACTCGGCGGTGCTGTACGCGGACGCCTTCTTCCTGGACGGCGAGCAGAGGCATAAGGCCGGCCACGTCCCGACGACGGCGTCGGCAGCCGGGCCCAACCGTGCCAACAACGGTTGGGGCTTCGTCCTGAGACTCGGCGGGGCCGTGTTCTACGACCACGGCGTGGTACCGCCCTGGTTTTTCCGGAGTAAGTTCGAATCACGGCAGGCGTTCATCTACATGCTCGAGATATTCGCCCAGGTGGTGGTGCTGGCGGCGTTCTCCACCCACCTGCCGGGCGCCGTGACCGCGTTCATCGACAACACGGGGGCCAGGCGGCGATGAATGGCACGCTGGCTGCCTTCTGGGCCTTGGCGGCGCGGCAGGGGACCATGGTCGACTTCCAACGGGTCCCGTCCAAGGCGAATGTGGCCGACGCGGTGTCCGGGGACGATTTTGCCAGGGCCCGGCGGGAAGGCTGCACGAGGGTCACGTCCCGGCGTCGCCCATTATATATGCACATCTTGGCGAAGGCGGTCGACGACCTGCTCTATGCGGTGGATGGTGCGGCGGCTGACCTGCTGGCGTGCTCTACTGAGTGGTTTGGTGAGCCGGCGCCTGGTGGGGCTGTGTGCGCCGGGGCCGGGCGGTGTTGATATGCGCACCCGGCGCCCGCCGTTGGATCAGAACCTGCACGCCGAACGGCGCTTGCAGCGCTACCATCCACACGACTAAAAAGAGTGCGTCGTCCAGTTTTGGCGTCAGAGCTAGGAGTGCGGCGGTTGTTGTGAAACACACTTGTGTGGGTGCAGTAACAACCGCTAACGGCGTAGCTGCCGAAGCATCTCCTGCTCGATGCGTTCGACGCCTTCAGCTTTTTCAGACCCACCCACGCCACCCTCGAAGGGTATTCGGCGGCGGTCTATCCTCGGCGGGCCGGTGCTGATATGCGCACCCGGCGCCGGCCGTTGGATCAGAACCTGCACGCCGAACGGCGGTTGCAGCGCTACCATCCACACGACGAAAAAGAGTGCGTCGTCCAGTTTTGGCGTCAGAGCTAGGAGTGCGGCGGTTGTTCTGTTTGGAATTTCCCTTTGGGAGGGGTCGCAACTTGCAAATGCCGGAACCCGCCCCCCATCTCACAACCAGCTAAGCTATCAGCCTTCGCATGTTGGAGGGTTTCTGATTACAGTTGCAGTACTACGGTTGATGATATAAATCCTGCATTAGCCATGATACAGTAAGGAGTATTCCATAATTCCCATAGTTTAGGGTCCTTAAAGTAATGCAGAGTTTACAAAATGATCAACAGCATTCCCTACCCTCGCGGAAGGCGAGGTGGAGGGCTCCAGGGTCCGACGGTAGACTGGAAAGGGGGTGACAAGGCAGTGTGTTCCCGCAATTCTCCAAGACCCAACCTTTATAAACTTTTTGGGTTCGTATAATGTAGTAGTCATCTTACAGTTTAAGTTTAACCTTTCATTTCGTGGCTTCTTGGGGAAGTAAGTCCCAGTGATACTCAGGCGGTTTGTCCGTTATGACTTTTTATATTGGAAAGAATGGAATGATTTATGTGTTTTTCGAACTTCCACATACTCTTTTTTGTACAAGCTTTCACGGTGCTATCAAGAAATACCGGCACACTCCTTTGACAAGGATGAAGCTTTTCTTTCAAAGAGAGATTGTTGGTTTTTGACGAAATTGGTGAAAGCTGTCCTACTTAAAGATTTTTTCCTGGCTTGAAGAGTTGTGCGCATGAACTTTGTTGTGCCGTGCATGCAGTCTCAAGCTGTCCGTGAGGAACAATTTCCGTCCCCGCCCACCCAACCTGAGGCAAGAAGCCTTTTTGGTTGAAAGGGAGAGGGAGGAGCCTATCCGGCCTGTCCCTGAGCCTATGACTCAGACTACCTTCAGCCTGCCGCCGTTGTGAAAGAAATGTGCGACCGCTGGCTTGTTCCCTATGACTTCTTATGTTGGAAAGAGTGGAATGATTTAAACATTTTTCATTTTCGGACTTCCAATAGTCCTCTCTATACAAGCTTTCATGGTGCTTTAGAAAAAAGCGCCTTCTGATAGCGGCGGATCTCAGATGATACTGGGCGATCCGGGCACTGAAGTGCAACCGTTGGTGTCAGCCGCGACCTCAAGATGTGCCCGTGCATGTTTCTCACGACATGTCCGTGCTCGGGTGTGTTTTCGTGCACAGATCAGCTTCATGCCTGACGCTTCATGTGGTCTCCGGTTGGGAGACTTACAGGCCGAGCACATGTTGAGGTCTTGCAGGACTTTTCAGGGGTGTCACGTGTCCCAGCATGTCAAGTCGTTTTCACCTGTGCCCGGAAGTGTTTCGATTTTTTCGATTTCGAATAATATAAGTGTACGTGACCAAGACTCCAGAAGCGATTGCCTTCGCCTTGTCCCATGGCTTCGACACGGAGACTGCGGAGATGTGGCTGTGGCGGCAGTCCGCTGAGTCAGGCCCGCACCCATGGCCGCTCAAACTCGAGAGAAGCGATGCGCTTCTCAGGGAACGGCGGAGGCGAGAGCGAGGAGGAACCCACCGACGAAGAGGACTCCGACCTGCGTTTTTCTGTTTCCTTCCCTTCATGCTAATATGCCATTGTAGTAGCTTGCTGCTCCACAGGAGCCCCAGCGTCCTGAGCATGGCGACGTCTCGCAGACCACCCAGAATTCGAAAGTGCACCCAGCGCAGCCGCTAGGCACTGTCTGCTTCTGCTCACGCCGAGGTCAGAGGTCCGTGGCTCCCCTGTCTCGCAGCAGGCCCCCCCCCTGCCCGCCCTGCCCTCTGCTAGCTTCCGAGCATTCCAGGCCTGGCAGGCGATGGAGCTGCACATGCAGGCAGGGTGGCGCCGTGAGCGCGGGCTTGGAGATGCTAGAGGGGCATCTGTTCGAAAGGCGCAGGAGAAGAAGCTTTGCTCAGCTTCCAGAGCATTGAAGAGAGCACGCTCGCAGGCGAGAGCAGGCTCGCAGGTGGCACTGTTTTGCCTCTTGCACTTGGCAGCCTGGAGGTCCAGCAGCTGACGGCACAGCTGAGCCTGAAGGCGACCTCTTCCCGCCCCTTGCAATGCGGTCAATGGGAGCCCAGGACATCGAGCGCGCCCGGCTGGAGACCCAGGCCTGAAGACTCCTGTGGGTTTTGTCTCGTAGTTCCGTTTCGCCGTTTCGGCAAAAAGCCGCAGAGCCATTGTTCTTCGCTTTTTCTGGTGAGACTCTGCCAGCTAGATGGGCCCAGATTCCGGTGCAGTGCAGAAGTGAGCGCCGGTCACTCCACCAGCTCAGTGGCCGCCAAGTTGCAAGCTCTTCGTCGTTGACAGATTGAGTTTGCAAAGAGCCGTTTGGATGGGCGCCGCACAGGTGGCTCAGTTCCGTACCCTCCTCGTGGAGAAGGTGCCGACTCCCTCCCTCCCTCCCTCTTTTTTGCTCGAGACGGCAGAGACGGCAGAGAGAGAGAGGAGCGCCGCCTCCACGGGGCCCTGGACGCCCTCGACGCAGCGGGCGCAGCGGCCGCAGCGGCCGCAGCGGGCGGAGGCGCTTCTGCTCTGGGCGGCGGCTCCCCGCTGCCGCTGCCGGAGGACTGCCGAACTGCTCGAAAGGCCGGGAGCCCCTGCAGCCGCTTGCGCAGCTGAGCAAGCAGTGTCCGAAAACAGAGAGGGGCCCGGGCCTCACTCCGGAGCTGTTTGGCTCGCGCGAATTGGGAGCAGGGTTGCGGTGCACTCCGAGCATGATTGACGTCTTCGCATTGCACCTCTGAGCGATGGTATCGCGAGATGCGGGTCTTGGTCCTCCAGACCCCAAGGCTAACGTACGTACAGACTCTCGACATCTTGTTGCGAGAGACCCGGAATCGTCGAGTCGATCTGGCCGTTTTGCCAGAATTCTCTCTGGATCACCCCTTGCAATGTACAAACTACGGGGAGCTCTCTTACCACAACGTGGCCATCATGATGTTGGCTCGGCTTGCGAAGCAGCGTCAACTCTATCTCGTCCTGGGCAGCGTGGAGGAGCGCTGCGAGGAGCGCTGCGAAGAGCGGGTCTACGACACCTGCGTGACCTTTGATCCCTCGGGGGACTTTCGAGCGCACCGAAAGGGCAGCGGAGAGGTCGCGAGCTTCGAGATGGAAGGCGTGGGCATCGTAGGGCTCCTGATCGGAAGCGAGGTGGAGGATCCCTTGAAGTGGTCAGAGCTCCTAAAGCTCTCCCCGTCGCTGCTGCTGAATCCCTGCTCGGCTCCCTTGCAGCTGGACCAGGCCCTGGCCAAGGCGCGTTTGAACGAGCGCCCCCCCCCCCCCGAAAACTCTCTGACTGAAGAGGGCACCCTCGCTCGGGCCCCCCAGCACAGGGGGACCCTCATCTCTCTCTCACCTGCGCAGGCGCACCCAGCGTTGCAAGTGGCGGCGTGGCATCAAGGCTTCAGGCGAAAGTGCTCCCGTCGCTTGCAGTGCTTGCACTCGCTGCGGGATGTTTGCTCTGTGCAGCCTGAACTCTTTGTTTCGCTCCGAAGGTGGATCGAGTCCTTGGTGGCGGCACGGCTTCGGAGTGCTGGAAGGCCTCTCAGTGCCAAAGCGCTTAAGACTTAAGACTTCTAACTATCTGATTTGCAGCTTTCTCCACCTTCTGAGATCACCAGCAATCAGCACGTCTCCATGGCTCTTCGGCTCAAACTCAGGGTGCTCGAAGACATGCTGACACGCCAAGAAACCGTACTGGGGAACTGCAAAAGCCGCACGGGAGCCCGGTGGAACACTGGGCCGCCTGCGTGCCTGGCACCATGAATCACATTCTTTTGCTCGTGCCAGGCGCTGGCTTCGGGGGAGTTCTTGAGAGCTCCAGCATGCTCCAGCCAAGCCCCCCCCTAGTTGACCCTGGTTTTCACCTACTCGCTGGCCGTTGTTCGCAGAAATAGCAGAAGATGCTTGCGACCTCGAGGTCATGAGGAATGGTTTCTGGGCCCTCCCTAAAACTGTGTGAGCGCAACCGGTTCCCGCATAATTGAGCTCCGACTGGTCAAGAAGAAGATGAAGAAGCAACTTAACCCTGAGTTATGCCGTGAGGAAGGTGAGGAGCGTCATGGTAGCCCTGTTTTCCTGTCTTGCAGCCCTCTGTCGCTTCTGATTGCGCCATGAGGCCAAAGAGCGAAGCCACGACTGCGCCTGACATTTCCAAATGACTTTCCACAACTCCGGAGCATTCGAGCCGTTGATGCCTCTGATCCAGAAACATCTTCGAAGGTGCGATACTACAATCAGACGTTGATTGCACCCGTGTTTTTCATTCACTAAAGTCTGGCCGGAACGAAGCTCCAAACTACGAAGAACCAGGAATCAGACTCAACAGTTGCTAGGTCCGCTAGGTTGCCAGGTGCCAGCAGCAGCACCTCTGGTGTCGACAATGCGACAGATCTGGGTCATCGGCTAGTGCGACCGTCCTGAAAATTGCGTTGCTTTCAGCCGGGCAGACAGCTGAGCGAACGCATTGTCTGGATGCTGCGAGACGCCCGAGGAGAATCGCAACTACTGGTGAAGCATTTGGAACGAACGCTTCAAGCAGTTCCAGTGGTTTCGACGCGGCCACAAGATTTGGGTCAGACATCCCACTAAACTCCGATGGATTCCCAGCCAGGAGATGTCTCAGGGAGTTGTATGCTGGCGCCACATTCCCGCATGCATTTTGGGCAGGAGTCGTGCTGCCGCCGCAGTACGTGCGTGTGCTCAATGGTTGTCTTGGTCGCTGTGGTGGTTCAGATGTCGTGGCGGTCATGGTCGTCGCGGTGGTGGTGCTGGTGGTGGTGGTGGTGGTGGTGGTGGAATGTGGTGGTCTTGGTCGTCGTGTGGCGGCCCTTGTGATATCTGTGCATGGTCGTCGTCGTCGTGGTGGGGGTGGTGGTGGTGGAATGTGGTGGTCTTGGTCGTCGTGTGGCGGTCCTTGTGATACCTGTGCTCATGGTCTGTCGTGGTCATCGTGGTGGTCCGGTGGTCCTGGTGGTCCTGGCGGCCCTGGCGGTCTTGGTTAACTTGGTGGTCGTCGCGGAGGTTGTGGTTACCCGGTATCTTCGGGGCGTGCCTGTGCTCTTTGACGGTGTGAGGATGTACTCTGGCAGGTTTTCACGAAAGCTAGCTCGGTGGAGCTTGCGGGATTTGTCGTTTACCATTCACTTAGGTAGTAGAGAACTAGGTCTCCACAGGTCCCGGCAACATTGTGTAAGGTTCCCCCCACCTCAAGGTCCATCATGGTCCATCTGTTTCAGCAACATGGCAGCTTGCGTTTCGCGCTTACGTGGCCGAGTGCATCTACAAATCTACACAGCAGGTTTCCCGTCTGACCCCCCAGAAATTAGTAACACTGCCACCAGGACAGATCGAAGCTGCTCGTACAGGCCCGAGCTATTGCTTACGCAGGGACACTCCGACGTGCAATGAGGTCGGTCAAGGCACTACGAGACGACAAGGTTGTATCTTTGTGTAAGCCAGTGTAAAGCAGAATAATGCTATCATCTTGCACGCTTAAGCCTCATGGCACTACATACGTGCTTGCATCCACGCTGCCCGAACTCTGGAGACTCTGGCTTTCTTTTTTCACTTTCTTTATATTTCGGTGAGATGGTATGCCGCAGTATGCCTCATTTTTGTTTCATGTCGGCAGGATGTATTCCACATATCTTGGAAGATTTGTGCCGTATTCTGATTGGTCTGATTGATGTTGGTAGATTTGCCTGGTTTCGGTGGGGTTTGTGTCTTATACTGCCGGTGTGACTTCTGCCAAACCCTATCATGGCTTGTCCTTCCAGAATAAGGAGCAAACCCTCCAAGAAATCTAGGCATGGCCAAGAATAAGGCACGCAATTTTCCAACAAGGATCCAGGAGGTCACATCCAAGGTGCATCGCCGTGGCGAAGCGGCAGCACACGAGCACTTTGGACCTTCGAAAGACGACACTTGCCGGTCATCCGACAATAGCTTCGCTTTGTCATGCGTGGTTATGTCCCCTGGGCACCCGAACAAAGTCGGTTTTGTTCAAGTGAATGCTGTGCCCCAGAGATTTGAGGCGGTGCAATCCGTGGAGTGTTTTTGCCTGAAACAACGTTGTGGCAAGATTTGTTCAGCCATTTTGCCGAGGGACATTCAAGAATGAATGTGGCTTAAGTTTCTCGGAATCACCTAGGTGTGACGTCGGATGAGGCCGAAATTCAGCTTGCTGTCCAGATTGCACAGAGGTGTGGCGCTGGGGCTGCCAGCGATTTAGATCGAAGCCTGAGATCCGAAGATTGAAAAAGGCCGTCAGTCTGACTCCGGAAACCTGCTGCAAGGTGTGCACAAGACTTGCGTATCGCGTCTCTTGAGGCAGCCTGTGGCCTTCGTGCGGGTAGACGCGCCTCTGCGCCAAGGCGGTGCCGGGCAATCGCTGCTGGTGGAATCGCACCGATCCATCCTTTGCCCCAGCTGGGATCCGTGCACCTTCGTTCTGGAGCCAACCCTCACCGTCGAGGAGTTTACCTCGCGGAAGTTGCCCAAGTGGCGAGAGCTGACTACGGAGGAGATCCTTTCCACCAAGGACCGGGAACTCCTAAAGCTGGACCGCGTGGAGACGGGTCCCCGCTACCACGTCTGGACGTTGAGCAATGCGGCCTCTTTTTCGGCCTTAGCTTCTGCGCGCGACTGGACGGGTCTCTGGGATCCGGCCGAGGAAGAGGTGCCTCCGGACCATCTGAAGGAGGCAGAAGAGGGGTGCATGCAGAGGGAGGCCTCGGCCCTCCTACTTCCACTCCAGAGTCCGGAAAGACCCCTCTACGTGACTGCCGAGAGAGGTGGCCTCGTCACTCTTTGGGACCTTCGCCATCGCTGCGCCTGGCAGAGCTTCCGCATGAGCGCGGAGGCATCGCCTCGCCGCCGTTCCTTGGTTTCCGGGCGAGGAGAGGGCTCCCTCGGGCTGCGGGTTGCAGCTTTGGGGCCTGCAGGAGGAAGTCACTTCGCAGTCGCGGGGACCCTTCCAAGCGGAGCGCTGCTCTTTCAGCTCTTCGAAGTTCGAAGTGTCGGTCCCCAGCGTGTGCAGCAGCTGCAGCTGTCTCCGGTGGAGCTGCCCTGGCATCAGTGGCCTCGCTGGCCTTGGGAAGATCTCCAGTGCGGGGCTCGGGGTTCTCGTGGAGTTCGCCCTGGCCAGGTGTGTGCGTGCAAGGTGGGTGCTGAATCTGAGAGTGTTGCGGGTCTTCAACAAAACCTCGCTGAGGCGGTCGAGCGTCGGCGTCTCCATGGATCCTGTGGAAGTTCGCTTCGTTTGTGCTGGCTCACAGGGCTCGACGCTTGTGGCCATTGCTGCGGCGGAGGGCAGACCCGAAGTCGCGCTGATGCTGGACGCCACCCCCCCAAGTTTTTTTTTTCAGCGAGAGCGTGTGTGCAGCTTTCTCCCCTCTCTCGCCTCTCTCTGTCTCTCTCTCGCCCTTTTCTCGCCTCTCAGAGAGAGCTGGCTCTCTCTGTCTGTCACTGAGATGCGCGCATGTGGAGGACTTGGAAGGAGGCTCCGTCAAGGTGATCGACTTGTACCGCGGCGGGCCGCCGTCCAGGTCCAACTGGACAGACGAGGCCTTCTTCCCCAGGCTGAGGCCGCTGCAAGCGCCGCCAGCGCCGCCAGCGCCACCGGTTCCGCCGCCGGAAGCCGCTCCCCAAAGGGAGGCGGAGGCGGAGCCGAAGACGGAGAGGGACAGGCTGGTGATGGCCACGAGCTTTGAGGGTCAGAGCTTCCAAGAGGACCGGAACCAGACTTCGGGATTGCTGTGTTTGTGGAAGAGCAACCGGCTCTGCATCTTGAGCTTCTCGGACTGGAGGGTCTATGATCAAATGCTGCTGGGTGACTCTGCATCAAGGCAGACGCGAATGGACATGCCCCTCTGCGCCGCCCTCCTCCCCAGCGATGCCGGTAGCGGAGGCTGCAGCTTGGTGGTCTCCTATGCCTCCATGATCATACGATGGTGGCAGGTGTCTCTACATGGCAAGATTCAGCAGGCTTGCCTGGTACTTCACCATCCTGTGACTCATTTGGCCGCGCAGAGCTGTGAGAATAAGAGCTGGGCCAAAGGCAGGGCCAGGAGGGAGGCGGCGAGTCCAAGCACCGTCACCACTGGGCGGAGCTCCTCGAAAGCCGAGAGCCGTCAGAGCCGTGGCGGAAGCCGTGGCGGCAGCCGTGGCCGCAGTTCGGAGGGCCAGGAGGGCCACGCCTCGGAGCTCGGGTTGACGGAGAGCAGCGACCGCATCCTTGTGGCAGCCATGGACGAGACCCGGGCTGTGACACTCTTCCTCGGCCACGGCGCAACCATCGAACGCGTCTACAGCGTGGACGCAACCTGGGGTAGCTCCATCGTGGATGGGATTTGGATCATGGACACGCACTTCGCGCTCCTGCTGAGGAGTGGCGAGGTGCGGCACATCGAGTTCGACTTCAACGGAGAGCTGATGCAGATTGGAGAGATCTTCGCTCCTGACCGTACCTGATTGGCTGCCACGATTCGCATGGTTTCACGGGTGCACGCTGGACAAAGCATTCAGTCTGTGCCACTGAAAGAGGGGTTTGCACCGTGCAAGTCTGGAGAGGCTCCGATGCCTTCGCTGCTTGAAGCTCCAGGTGTCACTTTCATGTTTTGTCCGAGGTGCCTGCGCCTTCCCAGACGGAAGATGATGGCCAATTCAGCAACTTGGTAGAATTCTGAGTTCTGCTGACGGGAGCACTTTGGTTTGGCGGGGGTGCAACATGCTCTTGGATCTCCCTGACAGGTGTTCCTTACGCTCTCGTCGAGCAGCTGACCGCCGCGCTACAGCACGCGCAGAGGCACCATAAGACGAAAAGCCCACTGGCACTTTTCTGCCTTGAATTTGTTGTTTCGTCGTTCCCCTTTGCAAAGGCAGTCTGCCGCCCAAGCCATGGAGCTGACGAGGGAACGTCGACAAAGAGAGCAGTAGCGAGCTCGGAGCCCTCGCGTCAGAGCAGAGCCTGCGCAGCGCCTAACTGTGCCCCGTGGCTCGTAGGCTTGAGACCGAGCTGTCAAAGAAGGCGAGACCAACTCTGCAGCTTCGCTTCTAAAGCTGCCGTTTTTCGGTGTCGCAGAGGTCGAGATGGCGAGGCACTGCAAGGACATTGAGAAAGTTCGCTGCTGAGCGGATCCTTCGGTGTATTAGGATTCCGTCGATTGCAACCTTCCCAAGACCGCAGAGAAGGAGTCAAACCGCCCGCAGTGAGCAACCAAATGCTAAGTCGCAGACACCGTAGGAACATCGGTGTGCCCTGAAAACTTGACCGTTAGCAACTCCGACGTGCGCGGGAGGACTAAGTTTGGAATGATCGCACCTCTTGAGTTGTGTGCGTTACGGGATTTCCTCAGCGGGATCCAACCATGAGCCTGCAACACAACACGACAGGTGCCTGATTTTGTCAGCATGGGGTAGCCATCCGGAAAGAGGCCTTTATTGCTTGCGCTTGCCGTCCGACTTCGGCCGGCATGGAAAGCTCCGTAGACGCAGCGCCTTGAAAGTTCCTGTTCAGCCAAAGCATCATTAAGTGACGGCCAGAGATCATCAAGTACCCCACAAACAAACACATGCCAAAAGCGAAACCAACTTCACCAGCTATTTAAGTTCCGCGAGGCTATGTGACGTGGTCACAAGGTACGCATATCTCCTGTCCGAGCGTTGCGGAAACATTGCTTGTGCAAGGCCGGCAGAGACGAAAACAGACGTGGCTTCAAGCCATGCAAGATTTGTTACGGCGCTCCATGATTCTTGTATCATGCTCATGTTGCGCCATTCCTTCAACGGGTACTCGTAGCATGAATGCTACATGATTGATCGCATGGAACCTTGCACATAGCCTGCGCTATGCACATAGTCGCCAATGACGGATGTGTGAGCTGAATGTGAATGCTGTCAAAATCTGCACAGCACCAATTTGGTGTCAATCCCAGAAGATTCTTGGAGACGAAAGAGTGAACCGTGGAGCTTTTCTGAATCCGACGAGTTATCAGTACGAAGCTGATGCTTCTGGGCTACTAGTGCATCGCAATCCTTGGTTTGCGGCCGAGTTTTCCTTTCAGGGTTTTACTCGAAGCTGTACCTCAAACATCCACTTGGGCTTGCTCAAACAAATACGGTACGCAGCAAGCGCTGTAATGACGAGTCAGTGATCCTTGTGAAAATGCTCAAGGGAAGACGACCTAGTCCTTTCTTGAGTGCAGAAGCATCTACTTCATGCTGCTGTTGAGAAGGGGACGGGCAAATCTTTGGAAAGACGAATCTTCATTCCGCGAAGCTCTACGATTTTTCGTTGTCGGGGGCGGGGTGTTGAAGATTTTATCCGCCTGGACCCCCAGTTGCAGTTTGGCATGTGATTGCCCATTTCACCCACACATATTCCGCCAGCGTCTGCAAGCAAAGATTTTCATGAAACACAGCCGAAGGTCAGAGACATGTCCCGACAGTTCGAAGCCAAGATTGCGCACCAATTACCCGCACAACGAGTCCTTTGTCAGCCAATTGGAGTGCTGTTCGTTTCACAGCGCTTACAACCGCTTCTTGAATCTGTAGACATTGAAATGAGGACCCCATCTCGGATGCTTTACTTCCATTCCAGCCGAGCGGATACAGCAAGCTGTTTGTTGGATGGTTGACAGATACACGAAAATGCGCAGACAACGACATGAAGTTCCGCATCTTCAGAGGATCCACGAAAGCTTTCCAATGCTCTGCGTATGTGACGGAAAGCTATCTCCATGTGTATCCAAGACATTTCACCTGTCCTGGCTGATGTTACGGTGAGTTTGGTGGAACAACAGTGGATTTCAAGTAACAGAAACAACGGGCTGCAGCACAAACACAAAAGCAAACGACTGGTGGTTGATTCAGAACCGGTACAACATCTCTCATGGCTTCAGAATCTTTGCAGTTTGGATTTCTACAAGCATCCAGCACAACTTGAACTCCCAGGAACGATATTGCCTCCTAGACGTCTTGCTTTTCGTATTCCGTAGCTTATCAATTTTGCTGGATTTGAGTCTCAGCGAACGCAAGACGTGCATGACAGGAGCCGAGACAATATCAGGCAGCTCAGCTTGCCGTGTCTCAAATCCAAGCAAGTGAAGCATTTCGAGCCTAAGCGAAGATCATATTGCCAGTCGTTCGCAGTTGTGAGATTCAAGAAGTGATGCTTGCGCGCGTGTGTGTGTGTGTGGGTGTGTGTGAAGACCTGTTGCCGGATGGTTATAAAAAAAGCAGCCGAAGAGTGCATGATGCAGCGGCGCTGCCTCATTTGTAGTAGTGGCATTCCAACGAAGAGGCTCTGACATATGTCTGATATGAGCTGGGGGGGGGGGGGCTGGCTCGCATAGTTGCGACATCTTGCGAGCACGGTCGCCCGCAGATGCACTAGTGAATGCTCTTGTTTCGTATGAGGCCAACGAAGTGAAGCAAAAACGAGCAGGCATGATCAGATTGCACAGCAAAAGAAAAGCTTCAAGAACACTCTCGATTAGAGATGTCTATCTCGTTACTTGTGTTACAGCTTCGGCTATATCGAGGGTCGCTCCAAGTGTGCGTGTTTGTTCGTTCGCGTGTGTGCGTGTGTGCGTGCTTGTTCGTTCGCGTGTGTGTGTGTGTGTGTGTGTGGGTATGTCTTCGAGACCTTGCAGGGTGAGGGCGGAAGCGCTTCGTCCCCGACCCCGCCTTCGACGAACGTGGAAGCGACGGTGGAAGGCGAAGGCGGCCTCAGCGCCCGCTGAGCGTGGCTCAGTCGGAGAGGTCCAGCCGGGGTTTGTGAGGCTCAAGGAAGGAGGCCGTGGAGGAGGGAGATGCCGACCATGCCGACCGCGACCGGCGCTCTGTTGAGGACCACTTGCGACAGGCACGGCAGTGGGCCGATTGGGAAGCGTGTGAAGCTTTGAGCTCGCAGGCTTTGGCGTGGAAGAGAATCGGACGCCCTTTCCATCCGCACCTTGAGGTTCCAGCAAGATCCAGCAAGTCTTGGAAGATGTGTTGTTGACATGAAGTTCCGTGACGACGGCAGGTGTGAGCGAGATTTCTGGCGGGAGGCCGAAAAAGTAGGGCGAAGATGATCGCCTTGTAGGGGTGCCATGATCTCCCATCTGTGAGCCGGCCCGTGTCGTGGGATGTCTGGTCCCTTCTTGCAGAGACTTGGGCCCAAACAGGGTGGCCCCGGTCGGGGGAGGAGGGATTAGGGGCGGAACACGTTCCGGCCATGGCGCCGCGGCCTTGCCGGAGAGATTGAGAGTGAGAGAGGAAAGAAGTAGTGATACCCAACAAAAACCCAACACCGAAGGAGGGCTTAACTGGTCCCAGGCTGGTGCCCGGAACGTCTCCAAGCCTGAGCCTGAGCTCTCCGTCGAGAAGAGCTGCTTAGAGATGTGCTTCCATCCCCCATTCATGACGCAATTGACGGCCATGACACTTGACGAAGGCCTGCACAGAGGGGGAAGGAAGGTTGGGAGGACCAAGGCTAATGTAAGGAAGCAAGGAAGCGGAGACGGAGCCTTGACGTGAGCGAAGGGACAGGGGAGTGGGAACTCGGAAAAGTGAAGAGCTGGCTCCGGATAGGCCAAGAGTTGACCAGGGAGTGGGAATCAAAGGAGAAGGATGTGTTGGCCGGGAGATCCTGTGAGTGCGATCTAGTACAAAGGACAGACGGCAGATGCCAAGATGGTCGGAGAGCAAACAGCATGCATGCAGGTGGAGGAGTGATACTGTACACCTCCATGGGAGAAGTGGAGGCTGCTTGTGTTAAGCCTTGCGATTTTTGCTCCGGCGGCAGAAAACTTTCGGCTGAACGTTGAGGTCGAGCTGTATTGGAACCATGCGCCCAGAACTTGCAACTCGCCAAAGGGGAAGGAGGCAAGAAGACGGGTCGAGGCCTGAGAAGCGTTCGAGGCATGAACTTCTTCGAGTTGGCCAAGAGGAGCTACTATGCAACTCGCCTGAAATCACCTCCTCTCCCTCTTTCAGTGGCCTGTCCTGCAGACAAGAACTCCTTTGAGGATAACACGCTCTTCCATCGGATTGTCACGAATTTTGTGATTCAGGCCGCTATGGTGTGCTATTGTGTGAGAGGGAGAGAGAGGGAGCGCGAGCTCTTGAACGCCTCAGGGAGGAGATCCGACTGGAACTGGACGTGGGGGCGAGTCGATCTATGGGCCGACCTTCGAAGACGAGATCCATCCAGGTTCCTCCTCTTTTGGGGGTACCGTCTGGGGCACTTCCGCAAGCCTTGAGGCCTCAAGCACACCGGAGCCGGCATCCTTTCGATGGCGCCCGGGCCCCGAAACGAGACGTGACATGGTCGCGCCCTCTCGGCCGCGACCACGGCTTGTGGAATCAATAACCTTGAACTTTCCCTGCTGTTCACGGTACTCGCGGTCGAGCTGTGTCAAGCTGCATGTGTGTTTGCTCGCCCGTCCTCAACCGGGGAAGGGGGAGTGTGTCGGTGTGTGCAGCTC